TAAAGCCCAAGGGGGGGGGAACAGGAGCCCGGAGCGCCTTGGAACAATCCTAGGGTAACCGGCTTCCCTTTCCCGGGGCCAGCCCGCAAAAGGGAGCCAAAGGGGTTTGGGGGTTTTTTCGGCATACGGGGGGCCTAATGGGGGGAGAGGGGTAACCCCCCCACCTACCATGGTATGGAACTGGGGTTTAGACCCAACCCGGCCGCAAAACAAGGACAGGCATCCAAGGGGGAGTTAGCTTTTCCCTCAGGTTGTTGGGCCATGCCCGCCCTACTCACTATCCCTAATAAATTTTGGGAACCCCCAATAACCCCCCCCCCCCCCCCCCCCCCCCATATGCCAAATGAGCGAATCTAAACACTTTCCATAAATAGCATTTGAGACCGAAATGAGACTAACACAAAGGGCATGATAGCGAGGGTGTTTGGCAGACACGGTAAGCTATCATCTAGCGATATTGAGGGACCAATCTCAATACGCGAGGGTTCTTGTCACTAGCCTGTGCAAGACATAACGAGACGGGAACTCCTTACCGGGCTAAGTATGCTTAGCTAATAACACGTAGGATTATGCTCGTCCGGTCTAAGTACATTCGAAATGCCCAGTTAACTCCACTAGTACAAAAAGGATTAATAAAGGGTTCAGCAATACTGACCTCTTGCCGTCGTGGCAGTAAGGTAAGAGTGTCCGTAAGGACTGGTTGACAGGTAACTTTCGATACCCGAAGTCACATTTGCGACACTTCTACAACAACATTTTCTTCGAGCTACCACCTCTTGTCAACAGCATAGATTCCAAATGGAAGGGGATGGAAACCAAGTAGTATATCCACAATTGGTGCAATATCAAGATCACACACTTTCAACATTTTGAAGGTACAATGTTTACTTTCCAAATAGGAGGAATCTTTGCATAGGATAAATAAACCTCCTTAAATGGAATGATCTAAAAAGTAGCAATTGAATTAAGCCATAAAATCTCAAATTCACAAATACTAGAACTAACAACATATACTTGATTAAGATGTACACTATCTATAAGTATATATATTTCCTAGATCACCCTTCAATAAGACAATGTATTCAACAATTTTGCATGCCAAGAAATTGAGTAAATTTTGTTTAATTGGTAAGCTTGCCTACACCAGTACCCATTGTGGAGTCACCAATGCAAAATTCTATGAGGCTAAAGGTGTTGGTTTTATTCGCATTGAGCTTAACAAATGGCACTATACGCATGTCTCAGAAATGCAAGAAAATTTGTTATCTATGAAAAGCCTTACTGATACTAGTCTTCAATTTTCTGGAGATCAACACAGTATTACTTTTTATTTTGATGTGGTCAAGGTGATGCACAGTACCTATTTACAAAGTTAATGCTATTTTAGTGCCTCTCCTTGTCAAAATCTAAGATGCACTGCTTCTAGCATAAAAAGTATGGAAATAGAAATGTCGCATACACTTTGGGATTGCTTGCTGATCCTCTCTCCCACCTCTTATTGGTTATGGACAAGATCAGGCTTTTTTCACATTAAAGCCTTCCTTTCTTAATAATGTTATGAAAGATCAGTAGTCCAGTGGTGCCTTGGTTCGAGCTATGCAAAAGAATATTTGTGATAGTTACTCATTTTATGCCCTAGATAGCACTTGAAAGTTCGTGGCATTTGGTGCGGTGACAACTGGGACGCTTCCAGATAGAACAGAAAGTGGTAGTTCTGCACCATCAAGCTCCTGCTGCTCTCACTAGCAATAATCAAGAGGCACGAGAGATTTAGTTCTCCTGTGGCAGATCAATGCGGGGGTGATCCTAGGGAACTGTAATCACCCCTTTGGCGCTTGTCAAAAGCCTCGACCACGCTCTTGCTGAGAAAGTGTTAAAGCTGACAGTGAGGGTGCGTCCTCCTTCGCATAAACCTTTCATGTAGACACCATGGAAGTCTGGCTAGTAAATATCCTTGATGCGTCTCAAGAATCGGGGTGATTTTTGGGTGCTAAAATCGGGAGGAGTATCAAGCTCGGGCAGGACGGCAGTCTCTCCGAGAAAAAGCGGGCTTGTTTGATTCCCCCAAACCCACCAGGCACATGGAGAACTTCGTCCACTTGAGCTGCCTGAGGATGGAATTGCCTGTTCGTGACAGGAATGGATGGTGAATGTGTGGCGTCGATGCTCCAAGCACAGCCCTGAACCTGGAAAGATCACACCGAAAGCTTACAAAGTCTACTTCTCTGGAAGTTCATACCTCTCAACCTTGGTCCCTGAAAACGTATCCCGCCGCCAAGGCGCCAAACACAAGGTCAGCGTCGAGAAAGCTAGACTGCGAGGAGGAGGAGGAGGAGCGACAGGAGGAGCGCCTGCGATCGATCATGTCTTGTCAATGGAATCAGACGAGACAAGAGAGGCTGGAGCCGCCGCTGCGCCGACAGGCCAGGAAATGGACTATCACAGCTGCCGCAGTCTCCAGCTTGCCCACGTCAATCTGCGCAAGGCTGAGGTGCTCCAGCGTCGCAATGCCAGAGCATCCGCATTGATGATCGACGATGATTCAGTATTTGGCTTGCAAGTATTTACAAATATCGGGAAGAGAATCGAACCCGAAACGTTTGTTTTGGGAGACCGATGTCCTAAATGACTGGTCTAAGCTGTTCTTGTGAGCTGGCGAACCAGAATAATGGCTCCTTATTTAGAAAATTTTTTGCATAAAAGTCCTTGTTGAGTGGACCCTTCGGCATCGAACCCGGGTCTTCTACAACGGTTTACCTCTACACTTACCTGATAGCCATCATCTCAGCAACCGGGTTCCCGTAATAAAAAAATCATACCATGTACTTGAACCATATGACAGGGGTCTTTGCGAAATCCATGGCGTTTTTGTTAGATCGCCCACCAGACGAGATTATCCCCCGCATTCGTGCTGCTCGGCGTTTCGTCCTTGGCAAAGCCCCCTCTTGGGTTGTGAATCGATCATCGTGGTAATGGATCGTCAAGAGTTATGGCCTGGGTTGCAATAGAAACTCGCAGAGCAATCTCCACAGCCGCAGGAGCTTTGCGATCTTCTGCTGGTGTGAATCTCATCAGCCCCAAAACTCCACGTTTCAGCAATCCGATGAAACCTGTAGCGTGTGGCCATACAAACGAACATACCTCGGTATCATCCTCGGCTGCCTCGATGCCTGGAGAGTAACAGTCCCGGGAAGAACCATCATTTGCCCGAAACGAAATGACGATGGATCCCCTTGCATTCCCGCTGCCAGCCAAGGACCAGCTTGTGTAGAACTGAGCCCGAGCCGGAGACCAATCCACCGGGGCTGTCCAAGTGATGCCGAGATCAAGCTCGCTGTGTGTGCCAGAAAAAGAGAGCGTGAAGAGGACGCGAGCACCCGACTTGGAGCAGGGCTGAGACTGAAAACACGACTGTCCGCGAAGTTGATGCCTGTTTCTTCGCTGAGATCTCCAGCCAAGTGCTTCGCCAAGCTCTTCTCCAGCTCCAGATAGACACTACTTGTAGTTGCAAGCGGGCACTTGCCTACCAGCTTTGAGCCAAACATGCTGGAGAGTGTCCAGTCTTGCAGCTTTCGGAAAACAACCTGCTCCAATGTCGTGCCTTCTTCGTCCCGATCGAAGTCACCAGAAGTGATAAGCAGCCTCTGGGAATGGTACATACCACTGTAAATCGTCTGCCTGTCCAGGAGCGTCGTGAGCCCAGCCTTGTCTCTACATGGGAGAAGCGTGAGCCATGGCGTGAGCCGTGGCGTTCTACAGAGTGCTTCTCTTGGGAGTGCTCCATACCTCGTCATCAAGCTCTTGCTCCATTTCTTTCCTTTCACCACCCTCTTCATGCCAGGAGCGTCAAAAGCTCCTCCTCCTCCTGTCCGGTTTGCCTCGGGCCTCGACGAGAACCACGGCCCCAAGAACGTAGTTGGCAATTCGAGGAAGTTGATCGATGCGCAAAAGAGGACCGAGAGAGCGTGCGTGAGGTTTCCCCACGTCGAATCCACCTCTGCCTCTGGAAATGCCGTGAGCTCCACTCCCACTGGCTTGGCGGCGAGCTGCGTGATCGGATCGCCCACGCCCCAGCGCTCGTTGTTCCATCGCCCTTGCCATTTCTTTGATTCGAAACTTCCAGACCTGTTCCAAGCGATTCTTTCATCATTGTTTCGGGATTTGAGGACTTACGAGCTGGAAGATCGACAAAAGAAAGTAGGGTTCGATTTTACCCGACCACTGAGAAACGTACTTGGAGTAAGAGTTAGCACCCTTGGAGGCATGGAGGGCAATGAGATCACTCTTCTGAAGGCCATGGGTGTTTGCACTGTGCTGGGAGATTCTCTCCTAGGGCAAGTAAATCTGGAGATGCATTTGATTGAGCGGGATGAAACACAATGATCAGTGTCTACATGTTGCATGAGTGTGGTAAGCAAGCAATCCACCTCTACACATACTTATGTCTAGAAGGGACAAAATGAGTTGATGTTTTGCCAGGAGCACATAGGAACCACCCTCCACTTAGCATTAGATGAAGTAGGGGTTAATCCATTGTGAAGAAAATTTGGAGGAGGAAGTGAACTTTTTGAGAAGAACAAGTTGTTCACATTTGTTTTTTAATAATTTCTTAGATCTTATCACAAAATTTATATTTTAATCAATTACAAAGCTCAACCAACACAATATGCATACATAAAGCACATCACATGCCACTTGTCTAGTCAAAAAACTACAACAAGAAACCAGCATACTATAAAGCATAATACATAACTTTCAAGAGCTCATATACAAACTTGTAACTCCTAGAAGCTATCTTATTCTAGACCATCCTTGTAGCAAGAGGTAACTATCTATTGTGAGACACAAATCCTAGAACTTCAAAAGTGTAACCAAAAGGGCACGTGATAGTGGCCGACGGAAGCCAAACAAGTGTAACATATTTGGCCTAAAAACTCCAATTTAAAAAGTTGAGAGTGGGAGTGGAACTCTCAAAGAAGTGCTCAAGGAACGAGCATGAAGCAAGCAATAAATGAGTCTCTAAAAAAAAGACACAAAAGGACCAACACATGATACGTAGAAGTGTCGAGATGGACCCGAGATGGAGTTCGAGATAGACTTGAGACAGAGTCCGAAATGGAATCTAAGATGGACCCAAGACAAAGTCTGAGATGAACCCAAGATGGAGTCTGAGATGAACCCGAGATGGAGTTTAAAATGGAGTCTAAGATGAAGTCCAAGATAGACCCAAGATAGAGTTCAAGATGGAGTCCAAGATGGAGTCAGAGATTGAGTCCAAGATAGAACCTAAGATGGAGTCCAAGATGGAGTCCGAGATAGAGTCCAAGATGGACCCAAAATGGAGTTCAAAATGGAGTTTAAGATGGACTTGAGATGGAGTTTAAGATGGAGTTTGAGATGGAACCAAGACCAAGATCGAGACCGAGTCCAAGTCCAAGACTGAGTCTGAGTTCAAATCCAAATATTAATATATGCTATTGGATCCAAAGTGATCATCCCTCCGGGGGGGGGAGGCTGAGTGGCATAGATGTCATTCTTGAGATTAGCAAGTCCTTAAGTCTGGAATAGGATATATAGAGGTTGTGAGTGAGACTTTTCTAAGTGGTTGAAGGTGTGGCTAAATGACTAAAATAAAATGGAAAATTTAGTTACTTACAATTTGGTATCAGAGTTATTCCTTAGTCCGACTTTTATTAGTGCTCAAGTATATCACCACTTGATATTGGCATTAGAAGGTTTTATGAGTGGGTCTTCCTTTAGGAGTAGTATGTTGAGAAGGCATGACTCTCCACTTTAGTTTATACATGAATATGTTAATAATGTGGTGGATAGAAAAGGGTCAATAAAGGAATGACTTTGGGATCTTAGGAATAGTATATTTTCTTAAAGAGTTGAGGATGTGATCTAGATGAGTGTTTGACTTAGCAAACTAGTTAATATAGTTGTGGTAAACAACTATAGTTGAGATCACAAGAAAGATAAAAACTCCAAAATAATAAAAGAGTCACAAGATTATCCTCATATAATTGAGGCTAATACTCATGAATTTAAAACTAGAATTAATGACTGTGGGAGGTCAAATACAAATGAGGATATAAGTCTTTGAAATGGTAACCAGAGCTACTTTTTATAAATGCTAGAATAAACCCAAGGAGTTAGGGGTGTATTTAGAAGATGAGTTGGTATTCTCATCATATGGATGGATAGTCCTAAGGGACAAAGGTAGCCCACAGGGAACAGAAAATAATCAAATGTCAGAATAATATTTGCAAAGGTAGTCCTTATGAGTAAGACATGAATACAAGAAGATGTATTCTAGTGAACTGGCACCTCAAAAATAGCCAAAAGGCTAGGACCTTACGGGTCATCGAATTAGCAAAGTCTAAAAAGTTGGATGACTCAAGTAGAGTTAAAGAATAATCCTAAAGAACTGATGGAAACATTTGGACTGAGGTGTATTATACCCTATGAAAGATGGAGAGGATCATAAAATCCAAGTATGAGAACAGTGGGTATCTCATTAATGGCAAAATGTGCCATACTAAAGTCATGGGAAAGGTGGTCCTAGAAGAAAGCAACTTTAGCGTAGAGTTGCATGTGAACACTATGGTGCAATGTTAATTGATAGTTGGCATGAGAAACAATTACTTTGATTTTGGCAAAAACTTAAACACAAGTGGAAAGTGTCCTAAGAGTAGACTTATAGAGCCGCTAGAAACACTAAATATGCCAAAGTGTGATGCTTTATAGTCAAATTAATGGGTTCATAAAAACCCCTTGCCAAAGGAATCCCAACTGGGAGGCATACAATTAGAGTGTGGTGACCCAAATAATGATAGAGGTGTAGAAGCACTAGCAATGAGTTATAAGATTTAACAATTATAAGGCAATTAAGCAATAAGTGCAATATGAAGTTAACCACCTAAAACTTCTTATTATATAAAAGGTTAGATATATCCCTCAAGGGGATAAATTACTTATATTGCATTATACTATATTAATGTCATAAAGGGAAATGCTCATTATAAAAAAAAAGGGGGGGGCGGGGGCATCATTAGGACATTTAAACATTCTAAAACACCAAGAAATGATATTTGGTATTATGAGAGCATCAGATATCTAGCAAATAATGGATAGAAGGTGTTATCCAACATCCAAAGTTGCAGAGACGAGAGAAATCCATCTATTCAAATTGGACAAAACCAAAAAAGATTTTAACAAGGCTAGTGATGGGTATATGAAGTAACAATATTAATCCCGGTGTGTAGAATTACAAGGTGAGCATATCCGGATTAAAGAACCATTTCTTAGGCTATCAGGTAAGTTTATCTCTAGAAATATTTGGTAAAGTATAGTAGAAAGTGCAAAGCTATCCTTTTAATTTAGAGGAGAATAATTGAAGGAAACATATGAGGCCAAAAACAAATAATAAAGGGATAGAATTGAACTATAGTAGTTAAAAGGCATAACTAAGAGTGGTTATGTAAGTTGGGAGTGGAGAATCAAGTGAGTGCTCAAATGTGTAATTACTACCAAGTGTGATACTATAGAGAGTTAAAGTATGGAATTGTCCATATTAGACCATATGATAATTAAAAAGCTTACGAAAAAAAAGGCCTTAGCAAGTTAAGGGATAAAGTCCTTTCAAGATTCCCTAAGACAATTCTAGGTAGGTTAATACTTAAAAAGACAAAAGTAAATAGTTCATAGAACGCCCAAAATTAGAGTGGCACAACAAAAGTATGGTCATGAAACTTGCTATGAGGTGAGGTTATTAAAGTTATAGAAGTAATTCCCAAGTGTTCAAAGAGATGATTTTGAACAAAAGTCAATAGTTAAGGATTTTCACACTTATATATGAAACCATATTATGCTAGTCAGAGGACTTGCTAAGCAAGATTAGCAAGTTAGGGGAACAATGACCCTAGTTGAAAGTGCTGACTTCAAAAGGGGTAACCCATGGGGCTAAGTATGGAGGAGTTTATGCATGATCACAAACTAATCAAATGAGAGGACTTTGCAGTTTGAAGGAACTAAGTTCCTAAGTTATGATCTATAACATACTTTAAATGAGTATCCTCATATTCCAAACCATCACCACACCCTAGTGTGTTGGGACTCAAATCGAAACACTAGAGGGTTAGGACTTGAACCCAATCTTTGTATACGCATCTATAGATGGCATCATCCAAGATGCCTAGCGTGACTCTCCACACCAGTGCACCAATTTATACCCATTCTGTGGTCATGGATTCTCAATAAGAAGATTGGCTTGGGCACACTGCTAAGTGGGGGATGCCCTAGAGTCATAATATACAGTTAAATTGTTTAGTATGAAAGTTTGGCATATCCAATTGAACACTTTAGTGCAAATAGCATTAAAGACGTGGTGAATGAGATAGGGGTAGTCAATCTCAATTGTTATAGACCCTTGGCTGGAAAGGCTAGCTTGGGTGCACTACCAAGTGTGGGGGATGCCCCCGAAGTCATGGTCAATAAGATATAACACCTATTGGCAAACTTGTTAAGGTGTCAAGGTTAGATCACTAGATGATCTTATAGCTAAAGAATAAAATTCTTAGTTCAAAGTGTTGATTTGAAATATTAGTAATGGTGTGGCTTAATCAAAATGACCAAATGGGAAAAACACTTAAGGGAAATGAACTGCAACAATGTAATGGTATTATGAGTTCAAGAAAATAGTCTCTAAGAAAAGGATTGCAAGGTTGGGTTGTGGATAAAGGCTATAATAAAAAATGCTAAAAAAACCTACTAAAGGTGAACACCCTTTAGATTTGGCAAAGTAAAGTCTTTTCTATAAAATCAAAATAATACCTTGAGGATGGAGATAGTGATCCTATATTGCATGTGAACACCTTTAATGGTGAATGGAGGGAGTATCCAGAAACACCTCGAGACACCTCCTTGGGTGCTCTTAGGTGTAGTCTTTGTGATGGAAGCCGCAAGTGCTGGGTCTGCCCTGCACATGGACAGACTCGAGATGTTAGCTGGGTGAAAGTGTCAAGTGATGAGATGCTGCATCTGGTTTGTGGGACGTGGGCTCGTGACGCCACAGCATTTTACCTGGTGACCAGACCCAAAGACGACACATCTCCCAATCGAAAACCAGCCTCATGCTCAAGGAGTATTGTCGAGAAAGTTGTGGCACAATCACCAAAGAAGAAAAGGATAGTAGCCGATCCCGGACTGGTTCCCAAGAGAGTCAAGAGGCTGGACAATCTTGTGCCAGCAAACAAGACGGACA